TTTAATTTTTTTGCAGAATTTTCTATGAACAGAGAAGAACGATCACGAAAGTTTTTAAGAATTAATGCTAAGTAGTTCTTGACAGGAACAAATGAACAGTATGACAGGGGCAATGTCGCAATCCGAGATACGTGGTTTCAAAGTTTTACCGTCGATATACTGTAATTCCAAATTGAGTTGGCAGTATCGTAAAATGAGCACCACTAAAGAGCTAATACGCGCAGGAATGCCCTCAGCTCAAAAATAACCTTTTCAGAAAACAACATCTTAAGTTCTGGTTTTGTTCCTTCATTGCGCTCATTTCATTTGCCTTCAATGATTGGTGATTCTCCCTTTTTTGGTCACATTCATAGATATTAGATGATTCCGATGAGGATTTGGACATAATAAGTGAAGAATCGGGTCAGAGTCCCCTTCAATTGAGTGTTTATGCAACAAACGATCACTCGTGTTCAAAAAGTTGCGTATTGGAATTTGAGAGACTTCATTCTCTATATCATTGAGTCGAAGATATGACCTATCGGAGCTTATTATTTGACACTGACAAGGGTTTTCGATGGAGATCCCAAACCCCCCCCCTCCCCCCTCCAAATAGATGCACTGAGAATTTTGCCTCAGAGAAGCAAAGCCTTTTTTCTCCCAGATCGTTACAAACGGAGGAAGCGCCACTGAAAATATGCAATACATGTCAGTGGCGTGGCGTACTTTACAATATATTGATTGATCTGTCATTTAAACCTATGAGAGGGAACGATGAACGGGGTGTCCGCAGCGAACACCTTAATAATCGATTCTTTACCATAGCTTCAAATGGGGAAATATCGATAATCGATCATGTTTGAACGCTCCTAAAACCTCAGTTCCTTCCGGCTGGGTATACCTCCGGGGCCGGATTTACCCACTTGCCGCCCATGAGCCGCGTGTATTTTGCCGCCCCCCTCTCATTGAAACATCGACAAGGCCTTTCGTTTTTAAGAAATGAACGAAAAAATTATGAAAGAATAAACATGAATGTGGTTTACTAATTTTAATTTCCGCCACCGCGCTAACCGCTCTGTTTTAGGCGCAATGCGTGAAGTATCTCTACAGTCTTGTAGGCGCTATGCGTTTCACACCGACCGCTGCTGACCGCACTGTTTTTGACGCAATGCGTGAAGTATTCATGCAGTCTTGTAGGCACTGTGAGTTTCGCGCCAACCGCTGCTAACCGCACTAGGTTTGACGCAATGCGTGAAGTATTCATGGAGTCTTGCAGGCGCTAATATGTGTTTCATGCCGACTGGCGCGCCGAGGGCTTCTGCTTCTCCTTTTCATCTCAAGTTCTCGTCATCATTGCTCTCTGCGCCGTTCCGCTCCAGGCCAAATTGCGTGTTTGGTCTCTCTCTCTAGACTAATGAAAGGCGCTGTCTCTTGTACCACCGAAAGACGAACAAATTAGAAATTACTATACTTTGACTCTCAAGAAATGAGAGAGTTTGTCGTCTTTTCTCATTTGTAATTTTTTTCCTGGATACGATTTTTTTTTTTGATACCTACATTTGAAAAAATTTCAACATTTGCCGCCATGGGCCGCGGCCCATGTGGCCACCCCCTAAATCCGGCTCTGTATACCTCACGCTATATTCGAGTAACAGCTCAAGGTAATGAAGCGATGACTGGAAAATACAACTCGAATCTCCCCCGGGATTTGACGCGATTAAAATTCCGGGACCGAACTCATAAAGGAGAAATAAATAAAGAGGTAATGAGGAAGAGAGAATATCAACACTCGATATCAACAGGACTGCTGCGAACAAATCGGCGGTCTGCTAACCAGGAGTTCGGTTTCAGGACAACACTATAAATGAGTGCGAATTATTCATTCGCTCCTCCCGAACACCGACGAAAATCCTGGGGCACGCNGGGGGGGGGGGGGGGGGGGGTCCGGGTTTTTGAACCAACCGTCTCGACTTCAGCCGATAGCCGCACGATTGGCGTTGCCAAATTTCGAGAGATTATGCCGGTTTTTTTTATGTGGGCCGCAAGTTTTTCTGATGAAGAATTTGCACACAGAAATTTTATTGCTTCATCTAAGAGCGCTAAGTAAGCTGAAATGGCAGTATGTATCATATTCTTGTTCTAAAATGCAAAATTGTTGAAGAGTAGATTTAAAAGTGAGAAAGTGTGCCGGCTTGTGACGTCATCTGGCGGCATTTCCAATCCAACCAATCCAAACCTCTCTGCCAAATCTGAGCAACGCCTCATTGGCAACATTGATAGGAGTATTGCGAGTTCACGTCTCGCGCCATCACGCCTTCAATTTTGCGGATACAACACGGACATCCATCAAGCACGAATAGTTGTATCCCTGCGCCGTTATGTACAAGTGGATATAGTTCCTTTTAAGAAAATGGAAAAGCGGGATTTGACATTTAATCAAGAGGAACTAAGCGTCAACTCGTGAGCCGTGGGCATATGACAAGAGCCTTGTGAACAGGGCTCATGAGTTGAAGAGTCCTGCCACCGACCTTCCCGTCGTGCCCCGGCCTCGATCGTTGCCGCTGACGTCACTGGCGCTTTTAAATTCCCACACTGGAAAAAAATGAATCTTAAATTTGCCGCCAAGAGGTATTTCTTCTTAAATTAAGAAGTTTGCTGATTAACATAAGCTACTTTTTACCTTAACTCAAGCATTATTTTTCTTGTATCAAGAAAAAGTCAGCTTAAAGCAAGATAAAAAAAATTATTGGCGGCAAATTCAAGAATAATCAGGCTTGATCCAAGCTATTTTTTTCCAGTGCATTCATTCTTATGGCTCTCAACTAACGAGCAACGAGCACACGCCATCTTTCCACTTGCACATAGTTCCATTTCGCATAAATACGTCCAGTTTTCTATGTTGTGTTAGATTTCTTTATTGTGTTCGATTTCTGTGTTTTGATAGACTCATACATATGTTGTGTTAGGGAAAATATGCATGACTTCCTTCTAAAAACAAAATGTTATCGGACGCAATTTGGCAACTCTCGAATGTTCATACGGTGTTCTTCTTTAGCACGTACTGGAAAAAAAAAACACATTGGATCTAGAGTCCAGACTCTTAAAAACATCGACAAGAAAAATACTCTTAATTCAATCAGATTTAAGCTTGAATCAAGAACCAAGCCTCCTTATTTGAGCGGAGTTCCTTTTGATTTAAGCTTAAATCTGATTAAATCAAGAGTCCTTTTTCTTGTCAATGTTTTCAAGAGTCTGGACTCTAGATCCAATGTTTTTTTTTTTTCTTTTTTTTTCCCAGTGCGGCAGCACTAACTCTTATCGCTATCACGGCAGATTAGCCGGCTATTTCATTCTGGATTCAAAAAAACTTGGCATCGCCCGGGCATATTCGGCCGAATGCCCATAAGATCACTAATCGCAGGCCACTTTTTGCGAGACCCCTATAAACAACTAAATTTTGACACTGGCCGCGTTCACGTTCAACCGTGCCGAAAATCTACACCGGTCATCGACGACACCGATGGCTACGAGAGAGATTTGCATATTTTAACAGGCCTCCCGTCTTTCAATACGGATAAGCCAAAGTGTTCCGCCGTGCTAAGGAAAAACGCCGTATGAACCTTCAGGCGTTGCCAAATTTCCTTTGATACAACATTAATTTCCTGGTAAATATATGAATATTTTTCTTTCAATTTTTCAGATAATTCTGTTCGCAATTTCACCTATAATGTCCTTGGAAGTTTCTAGAGTCCCTTTATACCCAGAGTTAAGACAACTCGATTATCAGCTGACTGGCAGCCGGCCTTGGCTGGCCATGGAGGCCGAAACGAGTGCACCCAAACGAACGATATTGAGGGATAAGGATCAGGAATCCTGCGATGTCTGTCACACAAAAACAACAACATCAACAAATTGATCAATTAAAAAGAAAATGAGATTGATTTATGAATAATTTCTTAATCTATTCTCATTTTGGACCGATGGAAATGACAATTTACTCTTGATAAACCACAATTAGGTAATATTTTCATTATTCTTGTTCACATTCGAGGTACCGCCATCTTGGTGCACTCGTTTCGGCCTCCATGAGCGAGAACCAATCAGAATTGGATTTTTTTTTAGGCCACTTTCAGCCCAACCAAAAGTGAGTTGTCTTAACTCTGGGTATAAAGGGACTCTAGAAGTTTCAAGGAAATATATTCAAAACTTTCCTCAAAAATAAACATTTTATCGAAGGAAATTTGACAACTCTCGAATGTTCATACGTCGTTCTTCCTTAGCACGGCAGAGTTCCTCCGGATAGCTCGAAAATTCTGACGATCGCATATCCCCGTATTTCCAAACAAAGCAACGTAACTCTGCCGAGCCAAGTAAAAACGTCATATCGTCACCTTCCAGGCAAAGTATCACAAGCGCCATGCGACGTTTAAAAATTTCCGCCGCCATTATATTTTTTTACAGAGAAATTGTTCAACGAAGCTGTCCGAAAATTACACCGAATTTTCTTTGTGCTGCCGATAAAATTTAGTGAAATTTTCGAACAGATTCAACCAACAATTTCTCAGTAAAAAAATAAAATGGCGGCGGAAATTTTTAAACGTCGCATGGCGCTTGTGATACTTTGCCTGGAAGGTGACGATATGTTCGAATGTTACTGTTATGTGTATGTATGTACGTACTGTCCTACTAGATAAAAAGGATGTTCTACTTGATTAGTCCATTCGGGGGTTGGCAAATTTCTCGGGATAAAACGTGTATTTTTGAGGAAAGTTATGCATATATTTCCGTGAAATTTTCGGGTATTTTAGATCAAGTTGCGAACAAAATAATCTGAAAAATTCGGAGAAAAATATTCAATATTTTTCCAGTAAATTCGTTTTTTGGTCAAGGAAATCTGGCAGCGTCTAAAGGCTCATACGGCGCTTTCCCATAGCATGACAGAATTATTGCAAGCCTTGGGTCTAAATAACCTGCTACGTTCGAAATGAGGAGAGAAATTAAAATGATTCAGGAGAACAATAGCTGTGATGAGTCATTACTTTATTTTTGGGGGTTTTTCAGGTATCAGGCGCAGGTTTCAGTAATTGGTGGGAGTTTATTCTTCTTCTTCCTCTTCCTCTTCAAATTCCTTTCCTTTGGTCCATCTCTCCAGGGTGCGTGATATCTTTGCGCGAGCTCTTTTCACTTGTTCAGTGTCGGTGTCTCTCTCCGGCAGTATGTCCGAGCAGTGAGTCCCTCCTAAATTCAAAAGCACCCTTATATTTTAAGACTACTCTATTCTGGGCTGTAATATTCAACCCTATTCTGACAGCGGGCCGATTATTGAATTTGATAGACAAAGCTATAGACAAAGAAGACAAAAGGGATATGAAGGGATCCTATTGGTGGAAGAAGGTGGTTGCAATGGACAAAGCAGTTAGTCAATAGACAAACTAACGGCACTTACGAACAACCCTATAGTATTAGTCCATAATTTTCTCCCTTAGTCTATAGGAACCACCCATTTCAACCGATAGGATCGCTCTATGCTCTTAATGTCTTCTGTGTCTATCGCTTAGTCTTATCAATTTCAATAATCAGCCCGCAGATTAAGATGACAAACCCTTATGGAGGCGTTTTGAGGAGACATGATGAGTAACCAAGGTTCACACCATCACGTAAAACTCAAAACAGCCGGCGTCATGTGTTACAGTTTCTTTATTTTTTTTAAAAAAAAAAAAAACAAACAAAAAATGTAACGAACGCCATATGACATGCTGAAAAAAAATCCGACTATCGAAGCCGCATCCACGGGCTATATAGACATACCGTCCGCGTTCCGGGCTCAGAAGCTGAAAATTCCTGACGTAGTACCCGGAGCAATCGAAGCTACCGCTTCAGGACCCGGAACTTTTGGCCTCTGAGCCCGGAACGGGCGGTATGTCAATATAGCTCGTACCTTTTTTTTCTTCAGTCTGCTATTGGAAAAGTTTGCAACCAATTAACAGTCTGAAAATGAATCAAGACCTGTATCAACAGTGCCTCGATTAAATGTAAATGTTCCTATTTTGGTTGCAACTGCTTAGGTTGGGTCGTCAAAGCTAGCTTTCACGCTGTAATGTATGATCTTATCAGTGGCGATTTTGAAAGTTGGTAACACTGTTCTTCTTACATTCAAATCCATCAAAAATATCGAGTTTAGGCGAGGCGCAAGCTGCTCCAAAAATAATCGATTGTTTCACATATATTTCAATGGAGGAATAACAGTGTTGCCGACTTTTAGGCATCGCCATTGGATCTTATTACTTACAAAATAATATAATAAGATCGTATACGCCCGTATAACTTCAAAAACAATAATGCAAAGCAGTGGATTTTTTGTCAAACCTTTGATGGAGATTGCAATGCTTCCTTTGGGAGGTTTACTCGTGATGCTGAGAGGAGCCCATGGGTCACTTTGACCAGTAACGAACACCACGCGGGTCACAGGCAGGTCATATCCTCCGTAGTGCAAGTTAGTCTCGTTTGCAGACGTTTCCACGAACGGTATGTCAAACCTACGAATAATTCCCACACATAATTTTAAAATACTAAGAAAATCGGTTACGAGACTTTTGTGTTTCAGTTGCACTACATTTTTCAAAAACGAACTACTTGTTCTGACTCTTTTCGTCCTGACAACGTATGCGACATAAGTTTCCATATGCAGGTAGAATGAGCCGGTTCTTTATTCCAAAATGTAGTCCAGTTGTTACTTAACGCACAAATTGGATTACATTTTGCAAGAAGGCACCACAATCTCTGGCTCATCCATAATAGCACCTTCCTGCTTATGGAAACCGAAGGTTCTTATGCTGTCTCTAAGACGAGCCAGAAATAGTGGTTCCTCATTGCAAAATGTGGACCAATTGGACTGCATTTTGCAATTTGGAGCTATAAATTCTGGCTCATTTGAAAAAACACGTATGTGCATAGAGAAACTAGTGTCACATACGTTGTTTTTAAACCGGGCCGGAAGTTATAGCTCCTAACTGCAAAATGCAGTCCAATTAATACTCGCACACCATTGAAGTTTGAAATGCGGGTCTAGTGTTTTAAGTAGAGGAAGATAGCATGAACAGAGCTGAGAATTTTTTCTGAGGGGAGCTCACCTTCAAGGGGTCGCGGAAAAAAGTGTTAGAAGTTATCTCTTAAAATTTTAGTGCTACCCCAATTTGTTGGATGATATGGGAATTTGCAATTAATTGTGGCAGTACCGCAGTTCAAGTTGGGGTAGTACCGCAACACTTACCTAGGTTGCTAACCTAATTTATTGGGGTAGTACCACAATTAATTGGGGTACTACTACAATTAATTAGAAATGCCCATATCATCCAATAACCCCGTGCTCTTATTTGCTAGGTGAGGCCTTGGTGGTAGGGAAATTCTCGGAGCCATGGGAGTCAGAGGCGGATCCAGCAATTTGGCAATACCGGATTTCCTCCGTTTAGACCTATGTTAAATAATCGAATCTTGTTGGAGCATCTAGCCCTTCCAAGAATCGATACATTCACATACGTTTAAATGGAGAAAAACAATGTTGCCACTTTGCTGAATCCGCCAGTGCTGGAAGTCAGGAGGTCGACTCCAGAGAATGTTGAATACTTGAATGTCCTGTGAAAAATTTGAGCTGTTTTTGCAGTGCTCCCTTTTCCCTCTCTTCTCTTCTTTTATAAAATTATTTTCACTCAAACAACTCAATAACTAAAACTTGACGAGTATTTTCAAATTTTTTTCCGGTTTAGTATTCACATGCATAGACTCATGAAACAAATGTTGGTGGACAAGAGAACTGGGAACAGATATACATTTTTAAGATAAACAACGATTGGCGAGTAGAACGAGTCTACATAGAAGGAGAGTTTGAAAAATTAGAGAAAGAAAAAAATAAAACTAGGCCAAACTTGTTTTTCCATAGTCCCGCCCAGTGAAGAGGGTCTCAGATAAAACTAAGAGACACCAAACATTGCTACCCAATAAGAAACTCAAGAGAATACTTGTAGATAATTTCAGACTCTGCCAAAGTTTATCAGAAAACATGAAATTACTTTATCAGACTGTGAATTTCAAGTCGTCACTCTCACTCCATTATAGATGGGAATTTGTTCGCTATTTTAAATTATATCCTGATTTTGTGTGACTTTTGTCAGTTCAATTAAGGTTTCACTTACTTAATATCGTATGCCTTCGTGCAAATGCCGTTGAAAAAGTCGAGGTCTATTTTGTCTCCGAACGTGTCGTCCTTCCGGTTGGACGTCATGTACCAACCGAATTCAGTGCAACATTGGTACCACCATTGGCGACCTGAAAAATTAGGATGACCAAAATGACGAATAACAAAGAAAAGGATCAATCCTGCACATTTTGAAAATATTGCGTTGTCAGAGATGATTAATTAATTTTAATGAATTTACTGTCACCAATCTCGAAGTGAAAAGGAGTGCATTTCACTCCAAAATCTATTTTGTACCCAAAATACCTGCGTGGTATGAATGAGGAGTGAAATTCAATCCTCAAGACCGCACTTTCCTCTGTATAAAGTATGAATTCCACTCTGCTTTCATATTACTCCGGTAATTTGGGGGCAAAACAGGCTCCGCGGCAGAGGCGGATCCAGCAATTTGGCAACACTGGATTTTCTCCATTTAAAGCTATGTTAAATAATCGATTCTTGTCGAAGCACTTGCCCCCTCTGAGAATCGATACATTTCCGTAGGTTTAAATGGGGAAAAGCAACGTTGCCAATTTGCTGGATCCGCCAATGCTCCGTGGTGAAATTCGCTTCGGATTCAATTTCGAGATTAGCACTAATTCGAGAAATTGCCCGAAAAATTCCCTCATCAGTGCTTTTTCGGAAACTCGAAAATTTCGGATTTACAACAGGAGGAAAACACTTATTCCAGAAAACTTGCGTATGGCGAGGAAAACTATCAGGCTCATTTTTTGCCTTAGCGGCAAAAAATAATTTGGAGATTTATCGCACCATGCCGGAGAATTGTATCACTCCCGTTTGAAAGCGAAGTTTTTTCGGCAAAAACCACCCGTTTTATGAATAATTTCATTGCTGATTGCAGCATTCGTATCAGGGAATTTTTCGAAAACTAACTCGAGAATTTTCAACGGATCTCCTTTTTCGATCAGTTTGTTTCATTGTTTGTCCAATGTGTGGCATAAACATTGATGGATTTTTCGGAACATCATTTTCGGTTTATACGGATTCTTTGAGATGTTTCTAGTGTCGTAGCTAAAGGACGAACGTCCAAGGGGTTCGCCCCCCAAGACAACACGATATTCTTTCAAAAACTTTATATGTATCTCATGATAGTTGGGAATATTTTACCTATGAACCCCTTAAAGTTTTGACCGTAGCTCCCATTCCCCTCCATGAAACATTTTTAGCTACGCCATTGGATATATAGACTAAAACGTATTGATAAATGGACATTATGGCAGCCCAAGAACATAGATAAAAATAGACAAGAAAAACACATTTACCAAACACAACTAAACATAAAAAGTGTGACTAAAACATTATGAAGTGTGGTTAGAGCCGTTCTCCTGGGTTCATTTAAGCTTCTCTTATACTCTCTTCCAATGAAACATTAGGATAAAAATGTATTCAAAATATGAAAAGGTTTAACTTCTCCTTAGCCACCGAAATCAAGAAATGCTGCTGAAGAATTTGCAAATATGTGATTATGGAAAACTCACCTCCACAGCCACACCCATATGCGGTGTCGTTCAGTGTGCCGATAATGGTTGAATATTTAATGGATTGGCAGAGTTCGTTCCCTCTAAATTGTTCGTTGTATTTAGCATATCGATTTACCTATTGAGAAGAAAATAGTTAAATTGCATTAATGCTTCAAGAAAAAAAATAAAAATAAAAAAATATGCTCGATCTGATCTTTCGTCTCCGTCAGAGAGTGCAGCGGTGTGCGGTGACGTATATTTTCTCCTCTTTTGATTGCTTTAAACATTTTGAAGGAAATAATTTAAAGAGAGAGAAAAAACGAATTACTGAGTAAGAGTTCTTCAAAAAGTATTAAAACCAATCAAGTCAAAATGACAAGGCGCATAAGTGCAGTTTTTGCTATTTCATGAATTTGAAGTTTCGAAATTACTTTGACCCTTATGGCGGGAAAAACGTTTAAACGGACTTTTTGATGCTAAGAATTGGAATTCGGGAGCGAATTTTTCACAGAATATGCATTAAGACTAGCTTTACTTGAAATCATTAATATCTCAATGTTTTAAAAAAAAACTGCACTTGTGCGCCTTGTTCTCCAAGCCTCTCAAATCATGTAAACCGCAGAACTGGGTATCTGAATATTAGCATGTATCAATAACTTAACTTCTTATCATTCGTAAGTGTGTGATGAGTATGAAGCATAAGTGACTATTTACGATTTCAAGGAGATATTGACCCAGAAAGATGCAAAATTGAATCATTAGTGCTGTAGCAATGTTAAGTTACTTTTTTAGCAGTCTATCGTCGAAATTTCCAAATCCGATTTTTCGAGGCAGCCTTATACCAAAATTACTGTACAGAAAATTCGTCCCTCCTTCCGCACAAAATTTTGAATCAGGAATCTTAAACATTCTGATTTAATACTTACGGGTGATTTAATCGACTCGTCCGTCATAATTGCACAGCCCTTTTCAATTTCTTTTTTATTCAGAGACTGAGCGGGTATAAAAAAAGGAAATGCCATACTCCAGAAGAAGCTACTGATTTCTTTTTTATCACCCTCGAACGGTTCACAAAGGCTGAAAAATAAATTCATCTGGAGTGAGCTCATTTTATATTTATCACCAATGTAGATAAAATAAGGGGCTTTCCACAAACAAGTACAGGGTGATTCAAAGTTAAACGGCCAGACTGCAAGAGCCGAAATACCCCTAAACCCCCTCTTTACACACTGGAAAAAAAAACACATTGGATCTACAGTCCAGACTCTTAAAAACATCGACAAGAAACAGTGCTCTTGATTCAAACAGAATCTAGCTTAAATCAAGAACCAAGCCTCTTAATTTAAGCGGATTTTGTTTTGATTCAAGCAAAAATCCGATTGAATCAAGAGTATTTTTTCTTGTCAATGTTTTCAGGAGTCTGGACTCTAGATCCAATGTGGTTTTTTTCCAGTGCATTGAAATTTGTTATTTTAAAGATCATTATTGAATTTAGGGCATTAAAGTACTTAAGATTACACATTTTCATGAGATTTGGTTCACAACCACCGCCAAAATTCAGGAAAAACGATTTACTTTCCGAAATTTTTGGGGGACCGTGACCCCGACTAGGAGTACTTTGAGAAAAAAAACTTTACGCAACAAAAAAGTCTTGTTTTTACCCATAGAACACGCTACTGCAGTCTGACCGTTTAACCCTGGGTCACCCTGTATACTGAGGGTGATAACATACTGTAAGTTGTTTTCTCACAGATTAACGGTGAAACCCCAAAACTATGTATCTCTGTTTACGTCGTTGCAGACTTATTGATATAATTTATTTTTTAAATGGAAAACTAGTTAGCGGAAATTCTCAAATGATTCACTTACAGGGTTCATTAGTACGGTGATAATTTTTACTTTGTCTTTTTCCGGAGGATGCTTATGTATACTTACTCAAAAAGATCCCGATAATACTCTCGTTTTTTCTTGTTGTGAACATTCTCGCTCATGATTTTATTTGCGGTCTTGATTGCATCCACACACTTAGGACCGCCTAACGTAGACAATGATTTTGTAATTACTTCGAACCATTCTACAAAATAAGGAGATAAGAAAATATAAAACTTCTCGGTTATTAATAACTTTCCTCATGCACAACACATACCTGACAAAAATAATTAAGGTTGTAATGAGAAATAAGCTTAGTTATACCAACTAGTAATAAGTAGAATATCCAAGTCTGCCGTGCTTAGGAAAAACTTGGAGTGAACACTCGAAGTTCCAAACTCCTGGTCAATTAAACATTTATTTTTGAGGAAATGTATGAAAATTTTTCCTTAAAATTTTCAAATACTTAAGATACTATTTGGCAAAAAAATCATCTGAAAAATCGGAAGGAAATCGTTAAAAACTGAAAACTCGTCCTTTATTTAAGAAACGACGAAGTCTGGAGGCTTATGCCGCGTTCTTCCTGGACGCGGTAGAATGTAATACTAAAATTAAACATGTATGCTGCCTTACTAGGAAAGAACGCCGTATGAACCTTTAGACGTTGCCGAGTTTCTTCCAATAAAAACCGAATTTACAAGGAAAATTGTACCGAAAAAAAAAAGTGAAGTTGATTCAACATTCTGGATGTAAAAAAAGTGTGCGAGAACATTAAATGCTAAATTACCCGCCATAGCAGATAGTTTTACATCTTGGCATTGCTAAATTAACTGCTGTAGCGGGTAATTCAGCATTTTATAAGTTCTCGCACACTTTTTTTTACATCCAGAATGTTAAATCAACTTCACTTTTTTTCGGTGGTGAATATTTTTTCCCAAAAGTTTCAGACAAGCTTATACGCGATTTAATCTGAAATATTTGAAAATGTCAAGGAAACATGTGCACGAATGTTGTCGAAAATACATGTTCTATCAAGGGAAATTAGGTAACTCTGGAATGCTTATGGGGCGTTCTTCCTTAGCACGGTAGTATGGTACACGGAGAAAAAAAAACTCGTGCGTGGGACCCGAAGTTTAGGTCAAATGGATCTCCGAAGTTTTCGGATTGAGCATCTGAACACTTTAGGTCTAGCTGTCGAGGTTCGGATCACACATCTGCAACTTCAGTTCTTACATCTAAAGTACTTCGGTTCTCACATCCGAAAAACTTCGGTTCTCACGTCCGAAAAACTTCGGTTCTCACATCCGAAGTACTTCAGGTGTAAGAACTAAAGTTTCAGATATGTGTGATCCGAACCTCGACAGCTAGACCTAAAGTGTTCAGATGCTCAATCCGAAAACTTCAGAGATCCATATGACCTAAACTTCGGGTCCCACGCACGAGTCTCTTTTCTCCATGTGAGGATATAGGTGATTTTTGTTTTTTGACTTTGTACTTTTTATCAAGAGTTTAGTTTATTACCACTTATTTCTTAGTCAATTTTTTCCCAAAATAATGATGTTATTTTTAAATTATTCGAAGAGAATCCACACTTACCATGAAAGTCGGCCTTCGCAAATAAGGAACCACTGGAGGACAGGGCAGCATATACCAAATGCGGATATTTGTACCTGAGCCAAGCTGCCAAAGATCCTCCGTACGAGGCTCCGAAAACGATCCATTTTGGATTTTTGAAACCATGCTCTAAGTTCATTTGCGTGATGAAATGCGCGTAATCAGCTAATGCTTGGTCGCTGCTCAAATACTGCAACGATTTTGTTGTCAAGTCACTGTGAACAGAAGTCAAAATCTTCACTGATAAAAAAAACTCCAGCCGTGGAAGCCGTACTTACGGGTTACACAGACATACCGTGCACGTTCCGGGCCTAGAAGCCGAAAGTTCCGGGCACCAGAGCAATCTAAGCTACGGTTCCAGCACTTAGACACTGGAAAAAAAAACGCATTGGATCTAGAGTCCAGACTCTTAGAAACATCGACAAGAATAAGTACTCATGATTCAATCAGAGTCTAGCTTGAATCAAGAACCAAGCCTCTTAATTTAAGCGGATTTCGTTTTGATTCAAGCAAAAATCCGATTGAATCAAGGGTGTTTTTTCTTGGCAATGTTTTCGAGAGTCTGGACTCTAGATCCAATGTGTTTTTTTTCCAGTAGAACTTTAGGCCTCTGAGCCCGGAATGGACGGTGTGTCTATGTAGCCCGTAACTTCTTTTCAGTGTTTTTTTGCGGGATTAGTATTATGCCCTCTCTTGCTGGATTACATGGATAATCTAAATGACACATATCATTAATAGTTATGAATGCGAAAAATATGTATCTCAATTGCAACGTTAAATATATCCAAATATGTTTTATTTCTTCAATGAAAAGTAACCAAAATGTTTCCTTGCAATATGAAGAGATTTTTTTTAAGGATCTGGACGAAAATTCACGAAAAACTTTCGGTTGATTATCCTTTAATAAAATTAAACACGAGTGGATTTCTGCAACGTCGCACTCTGAGATACGCATTTTTCGACTTTATAGCCATCGATGTAAAGTTACCGATAATAGCCACTATCTAACATTTCATTTTCTATGTGGCGATTGGACTGCAGTCTTTTTAAAAAAAAAGAATAATTTTAAAGCCATGCATGTAATACGGTTTTCAAAGTGTTTCTATAATTTCAGAAAAAAGATGACGATCAAGGTAACTTACCGTCCTGGTCGACTTTCGCCGTAAAATCTGTGCTCAATTACAAAAGTTGCAGCTTTGAATTTTTCCGCTTGCTTGGCCATCAGACCAAGCTTTAGCCAAAGTTCGTTCATTGCACCTGCACCTCCTATCATTAAAAAGATCAAGTTATTGCCTCTGTAATGATCTAAATTTTCAGCATACCGCTGGAAAAAACACAGAAAATATAAAAACAAAATCAATCTTGTAAAAAATTGTATAGCGTTCACCTGATAGTCAGCGTTGTTTGTTTTCAATCCATCACCAATACGTAAAAATAAACAGGCACATATAATAAATAGGTGCATGAAAATGGTACAACATACAACTCAACAATAAGATAATGGGAACACGAAAAAAATTGAATGTTGCTTCAGCATTTGTATAATGTTAGAAAAACGTGCGACAACTATAAATGCTGATTTTACAATAAGAAAATGCTACGCTAACTACGTTCACGATTAAATGAACAAATTCAATGTTGAGTTAGTATATTTTAGATTTAAAATCAGCACTTGATACTTTTCGCACATTTGTTTGACACTATAAACGCTAAATTAACATTAAATTTCTTTCCGCATGAAGCTGCCTTAAATTTCGAGAGAAGATTTGCTCATTTTATCATTTTTAATGAGTCTCTAGACAAACCGTGGAGAATGTAAATAAATTTTAATGATTTACATCCGAACCGTTCATATGTTTTTAATGTTAGGGCCGAGAATGGCGAACATGGCACTTTAACCCGTAACTTGAACCTTGAGTTTTCCGATTTTTGATATGAATTGCTTACCTGCTCCCAAGTATCCATGACGGAAGGTGCAAAGTGGTCAAGCCTCTGCGTCAACGTCTTGAATTTAATATCTGTAAGGTGCTCCTTGCGTGGTAGTCTAGTCGCAAATTCATCCAGTATCCTCGAAATTTCCTCGTCCCTATTCCATAATCCACATTTTTGAGGGGCATCATAAGCGGTAACGCTTACTAGCAGATACAAAGATGTTACCAAATGAGGAATCAGCATCTAAAATCAGGGATCGTTGAAAGATCACTCGTAAAGTGAAACGTTTCTTCTTATCCTTAACCTTCTTGATCTTAATGGCTTGAAAGCTTTTGTTACCGGGGTCTTTTTTTTAAAGTCTAATTTTATTTTGTTCTTTGGAATTTTGGTCTTTTAACCAATCTTCCCCCCATCTCCCCCCCCCCTCCACCCAACCTGTAAGTACGAGAAAATGCATTTTTTTATTGCTAGTTAATATCTTCCAGACAATTTTTTTCTTAAATATATTGTTTTCCTTACGATGCGTGTAATGATGAATTAAAATATTTTAGCTTATATTCTCAATTTGATTTGAATTTATCTACCTCCATCTTGCATGTTTGATAATTATTAATTATCAGGTGCGACTCGCAGAAACTTTGAACAAAAGGGAGGGAAAGGGAAAAATTAGACGCCTCAGCAATGACACAGCTACATTTTTTAATTTAAAAAAAAATCACACGGATAACTAGAAAATGAAGAAGGTAAGTCGAAACGATTTCATCCGAATCGATAAAAGTTTTTCAGAGGCAAACAATTCTACAAAAAAAATTGAAAAATAGAAATTTCAATCCAAGAAGCTAAATCTAAAAATCTGATTTCTTTGCCCACACTGAGCTCTTCTCTACCGAGACTCTCAAAAAAAGCAGCGCTTAACCAAAAAATAAAATAAATGGCTGGAAAAAGTTAAAAATATTGGTAAACAATATATAGCCATCTATGAATTTTACTCGTGGATTTAAAAAAAAAAAAAATTACCTTCACTGCGGAGAATTTTTTTTTTTTTTTTTTTTAAATTGAAAAAGCTTTTCAAACTTTTATTTTCGATACTTTTTTGTATCACGATACAATACTTTAAGAAAGATGAAGTATTTTACGCACCTTGGAGGGTAATAATAATAAACATGAATCGAAACTCAGGAAGTGCCGGCTGTGATCGCTGATCTGCGGATTGTATATAAATTGCAAGAGACAGTTCTTATAACTGTATCCCTATGGGATTTAATCTCGGAACAAGTGCTTCATTGCAATCGCAATCACGCCACACTTGTCTGTAGGAAGTAAATAATCTTAAGATGGGTGACACATGCACATGAGAGCTTACACTACGTTACACAAAACTGATTCAAGCATGACCAAACAGATAGTGAAACTTGTGGTTCGTGACGTCGCAGATTTCGAGCCTTTTTCGTTTGTTTGTTTAAGTTTTGTATTTTTATCCATAATTTTAGTGGTTTAAGAATGACTAATTTTTGCTCATGGAAAAAGACAATAAGTGTTTATTTTTCTTCTGTTCAGAATGATCCAGACAACTTCGCTTCAACATGATTTGTAACGTTTTCTCAAAGAAATTTTCGTTTTGAGCTCGCCCACTCGGGAGAGCTCTTTGCGATCGATTTCTTTTAGCATTGGTAGTGTCCGTGGCGACGAATGGATGGTTCTCGTTGCCGTCGGAGGAACGGCCAAAATCCCATTGATTTCAAGGTCTAAAAGTTGAATTTTCGCGGGTTACAGTTTTCCTCCGTCGAACATTTCCGTTCCCTCATTCAACTGAGGATTAATTGTTCCTCGTTTGCTACACTAGA